GCAAAACAACACTTCCGGTCACAATCTTCGACTTTTTCCACACTTGTACCTCCTTCAAAGAGCCCATCCCATGGAATAGTGCTCTATTGCAACCGATGACCACAGTGTCCCCCACCGAGCGTGTGGGCGTCGATATCGTTGAATCGCTGCCACACACACCTTCTGGCTACCGATATAATTTAGCATTGGTGGATCGTCTCACGAAGTGGGCAGAAGCTGCCCCCTAACGTCGGCAAGACGAGGCTTCAGTCTCCAATACGTTCCTCGGTGGTTGTATCTGCTATTTCGGTGCTCCTAACTGGCCGCGGTAAGTGTTCGTTTTTATTTAACTGAATGCGTGCTGCTGAGCGCAAGAGAGTAGAATCCGTCCAAAGTTTTTTACAAAGAGAGTTTTGACCTTTGAACGCCGATGCCCGACATACCAGGGACGTGGCGAGCTTACAGGTCTTGATCCCTTATGATTTCGTCGGATACAAAACGGACTATTTTTAGTGTTTGAGCTCTTAACAAATCGAACTTTAAACCCGTTTACTTTTTTAAAACCTTTCAACCACCCCACGTAGTAGTTACCGTCAGGTCTTTTTATTTCTTCCCATGCCACGTCCCGCTAAATATCATCGTTTATTTTCTGTGAATGCAATTGCAATTTCGAACAAATTCCCCAGGAATACAAAAGTTCTGCATAATTATTCCTTGTTTAAAAGAACCACTATTCGTTCTTTGCAGTCCGGAAATCTCCCACATATTGTGGGTGCCGATTCCACTAATTTCATCTAACATAATGATGACGTTCATGGTCTCTGATACCCTGGCCTGTCTCACCACGGACAATTTTTTTCAGCCGCAAGAGAACAACAGTTTTTCAATTTTTCTGTTTGGTCCAGGGCAAGATTGCAGTTCTAAGACAGGCATTATGGGTCGAGATTGTTCATGTACTTACTTTTTATCAGTAGGCGTTAAAAATGATTGGATTAATTTTACAGGAGAAAAAAAAACCCCTCCATAAAAATAATAACAGAAAAAAGCAAGCAGGACTGGCCTGTAGGTGGCGGTATATAACAGATTGATGTCGGTCATCGTCAGGGTAGCAATAAATCTCAACATTGAGGGGTACCTATGCGGGCCAGACAGGACTGGCCTGCATGTGGTATTGTATACGGGAATCACAATTGACATCTTCTGGGCCGGATTGATACACTGCATGAGACTATTCGCGTCAAAGAGGCCAGAAGAGAGAAACCGAGATACGATCGGCCACAGCACGCTTCGAGCTCAGCCGAGCAGTGAGGAAGAGAGGTACGACCAAATTACTAGTAGACGGTGAATACTGAGGGTTCCGCCGTGAGCGTCAACTGGCCACATGAGGTCGGAATGCGGGAGATGACATCAAAAACCGCGAAAATTGTCGCTATGGGGGGGGGAGTGATAGCAGTGGATTTAGAAACCACATTAAAAACAGGGGTTTCTAATGATATAATTAAGAGTTACCACTTAATCTACCACTAAATCCCAGGAGCACCCTTCTCGAAGTCAAGAATCTGAGTGTTCGCGAATGAGACCGTTAACAGTGCCTTTATGCTTTCCGGTGTAAGATGGTTGCGTAATTTCGACTTGAATACCAGTAACTTAGGCGATAATCTAATTTCAGGCAGAAGATTATTTCAAAGGAAGCCATATTTGGAAGCAAAGAAGAGGGAGCGCTCAGATGTAGAACAAAGAGGCGGCGGAATCACCATGCAGGAGTTGCGCGTGCATAAGACCGATCTCTCGGAGTGAGAGTGTCAATGTGCGGAAGACTGGAGCTAAGTTGATGCGAAAAAGGAAGCAAAGGCCAGCTTAGAGTCTTCTTACCCACAAAAACTTAATGTTCGCCAGCTGACATCTCTGAGTATAAGAAATACTGGACGAAGCTTGAGAGAACAGTTTCCGGGTGAAAACGCCCTGAACATTTTCAATTTTATTACGGTCACAGGCGTTCATTAAACCGAAGAAAGGACAGCAATATTCGAGGACTGGATAAACAAACATTTGATAAGGTCTTCGCTTCATTTCCGGAAGGCAAAAATTATGCGATATGAACTCACATATATGTGCGGCTTTGGCAGAGATTCTATCTGCATGAGGTGATAACGTAAGCTCATTTGTATAACTTAGACCTAGGTCCTTTATGGTGAGGCATTCTGAGAGTGGATTATTCTGAAAAATTATGGGACCAGGAAGTTTGGTAGGACCAAAAGACATGAAGCTACACTTGGATGATGAAAACTCCATCTGCCATGTCGAACCCCATCTGCTTACGCGTAGTAAATTGGCATTAATTTTTTCAACACAAACGTTTGCTGTATACTTAGAGTATAAGTAAACACACTTGAGGTCAACGGCATAAGTAAAATTTTGCGAATTTCCGAGTTCAGTCGAAATATCATTGATGTACAGAAGGAAGAGTAGCGAACCCAGGACCGTGCCTTGAAGTACGCCACTCGTGATCGAGTGGGGTGTCGAGTAGCTATTACCGACCATGACTTTCTGATATCGGTTGGCCAGATAGGACCTGATGAAGTCGAGTAGAGGCGGCCGGATGCCGACAGCTTCCAATTTTACTAAAAGACGTCTATGGGGCACCTAGTCAAAGGCTTTGCTAAGATCAAAGTAAATAACTACCACTGAAAGCCGCTCATTACGAAGAGAAGTGATTAGATTAAGAAAAGCCAAGTGACATGTTTCGCAGGATCGTTCAGGTAAAAATCCATGCTGACCAGAGCCCAGAAGACGATTAGCTAAACAGAAGTCAAGAATTTCATTGAAAATAATCCTTTCAAGAAGCTTTGATAGAGAGGGCGCTCTGTGCACCTCCCGATTATTATTAACATCGGACCGAGATCCTGACTTGAAAACGGGAATGATAATTGACGTCTTCCATGATTCAGGAAAGAATCCTTTTGAAATATAAACAGAGAATAAATGACTGAGCAATATGGGAAGGTCGGACGTTTGTTTAATAATCGAATTCGGAATCATGTCCGTTCCTGAGCAGTGTGAGTATTTCAAACGGCTTATGCGCTTCTTAATGTGATCTGAGGAGATATGAATTGTACTAAGTGTCCTATCTGAAAGTGATCGAAAGAAAGGGACCGGATCGGACTCGGTAGCAAGGTGTTTTGCAAAGAAAGCACGGGTGGAAGTTCATGACCACGCTTAGAGGAGGACCGATGACGGAAGATGTTAGCGACGGATTTGCCAGGGTTCGAACCACTGAGAGCAATTGATTCTCTTTGCCTGTCGCGCGCTAGGCGCATCCTTGAGGCCATCTCAAATATCTCTGTGATTCAAAGATGAACAGATAAGGAACTAGTGGATGGGTCACGCAGTTGTCGCCTCAACTTTTTTAGTCTGTTCTGAAGAAAATGAGGAACAAGGGAATCTGAAGAATTAGGCTTGGGATATCTACGCGGCACAAACTCTAGAATGTCCTTGGAAACATTGGACATGACATCACGAAGAATGGTTACATCGCTACAAGTGAGGAAGCCACACCAATCCAAGGATCTCATATAGTTATTTATTAAGTCATTATCTACGCAGTCGTAGTTCATGAAAGTCTGAACGGCGCTTGTCTTTTTTGAAAAGGCAAGCGGTAGGCAACAATGAATTAATACGTGGTCACTGTCAAAGAGGTCCTTTTTTAAGGCAACAGAAAGAGGAGCTATGTCATTGGTAAAGATTAGATCTAAAATGTGATTATCTCTTGTTGGAGAGCGCAGCAGTTGGGACCAATTAGAAAAATTGACAATATCTTGAAAGGGCTGTAATCGGGGTGGGCAGCTATTGGAAACCCAGTCAATTTCAGGAAGGTTAAAATCACCAGTGGTTATTTTAACATAGAAAGCAGCTTCCGAAATTAATTTAAATATTTCACAGAGTTGTGAATCATCACTGGCTAAAGAATTTGGAGGATTGTAGATACAGCTAATCATTGCCTTTCTTTGCGGCGAGAGAATAACAGATGCAAAGCAGAAGTTTCCCGTGAATGAGGAAACATCCAAGTAATAGGGAGAGTGCTTTAGGAAGGATTTAAGATAAAGAAGACAACCACCCCCACGCCTAGTCGTGCGGTCTTGGCGGTAAAAATCGAAGTCATCTATGAGAAGGGCAGAGTCAGGAATTAGAGAATGGGTTAAAGATTCTGTTACACATAATATCAGGCGTCATTTTCAGAGCAATGGCTCTGATTTGGGCCATCTTGTTTATAACAGACCTGGCATTCAATAATATAATTTCTAATGTGTTTCGAACGGCAATGCTATTTTCGACGGTATTTTAAAAAAAATTTGGAGGCGGATATGTAAGCTGCGAATTAATGACACTTGGAGAATAAGTACCAGTCAATTTATAATTATTGACGTACGGGGAGTCAGCAAGAGATGGCCGAGTATGAGACCTAAAGGAGGTGGGGGAATAGTTTTCAAACATTGGAATGCTAGGGGAATTAGAACATGGATAGACATGTTGGTAGTTAAATAATGGAGGAAGGGGAGGAGAAGGGAGGCTAGAAGGAAAGTATGGGCTAATTGGTGAGGGTAGGTCACTAAAAGAATGAAATGGTGGGTAACCAGGTCTAGATTGGAAGTCAAAGGCGATAGGTTGATGTACCTGAGAGCAGTTGGCCTTAGGTGGTGGAAAGCCTGAACTAGGTTGGGGCATAAATGATTTAGGGCAATTCATGTATGAATTATTTGCTGGATATATAGTAGGGCTTTGATAAGTAACCGGTACGCAGGACAGAGAATTATTCGGGGATATACTTGGAGCTGCGAGGTTTGTAGACATGCTGGGCTGAACAGACTTGTAAGATCTAAGAGAAGGCGTCGTACCCCTAAACGAAACTGTACTACCTATCTTTTGGGTCGGAGTCTGATTCAATTTTCGAGTCTCACCGTTCTGACGCCAAGCCAAGGGTGACTTAGCTGAAGACCTTACAGCACCCACTTGGACAATAGAAGTTATCGGTCTAGCTGATGTAGATGGATTTTCATATGTCTCAGCAGGACTATCCGGAGGATACGAAACGACAAATGGGGCTGCTGCTGCTGCTGCTGCTGCTGCTGCTGCTGCTGCTGCTGCTGCTGCTGCTGCTGCTGCTGCTGCTGCTGCTGCTGCTGCTGCTGCTGCTGCTGCTGCTGCTGCTGCTGCTGCTGCTGCTGCTGCTGCTGCAAGTTTAGGGGCAGGCAAAATCTTCAAGTGGCTTGAGTGAGATGGAGATGTAGGAGAAAGAGGAAGGAGGGAGTCAGATTTCGCAGGAGTAGGAGAAGCTGAATCCTTACGGCTACTTGTATTATGACCGAGTTGGGGAGCATTAGACTGAGAAGCAGTGGGGTTACGTGAGAATAGAGACCCGATTCTACGCTCCATAGGAGTAAGATCATGACAAAGGAAAAATTTTGCCTTCTCTAGGTACGCAGTGACACGCTCTCGATGAGTAAAGATTGTGTCAACTTCGATTGATGAAAACAATTTCACTAAGATGGGTGGATTTGTACTACGGGAGGACAAGCGTTTGGTATCAGCTATTTTATAGTTGAAACCACATGAATACAGGAAACTGGTCGCAACATCAATTGGCCGAGCAGATCGAGGAACATTTTTTAGCAGGAAGTTGTAAGAACGCTTCTGTCTATCACTAGATTCACTGGCGATCAGGTGAACAAGTGAGTCGAGACGCCTACATTCTTCAGAGGGAATATCGGAGATGTTCCCGTCGAATGAATGTCCAAGAATTTTCAGCAAAGAGCCAAACTTTAGCATAAAGTCATTGCAGTGGTCAAATGCAGACAGATTAAGCTGCCGACCAATTACAACGGGTGACGACTGACTAGTAATATCATCTGACTTCGATTTAGGTAAAGCTTCTGACTCACGTTTAGTAAGGCCATGTTTGCTTACAAGAGCCGAGAGCTTACGTCGACCAGTGACTTTTGGGCTCATCTTGTCTCGAGGCAATTTGTGATTAAGACAACTTCTGGCAGAAAAGTTGACTGAATTTCAGCTAGAGGCTAACGATGTAAAAATAAATTACAACAGTAAGAGAGAAATCGGATGCACAAAATGAGAATTGCAAAATGCGGTTAGTGAACAACGGGCATAGACTAGCAGAAATGAAAAGGAGATGGCAGCAGGCAGTTCTTAGAGAAAAGGCCTGTATTTAAGGAAATTCAAACAAAAAACAGGTACTAAAATCGTTAGATCTCACAGAAAAACCACTAAAAATAATATCCTCCACTCATCTTCAAATTTAAAACCAGCGGCTTGACCTTGACCTTGCTTTTAAACTTATTGGGGTAATAAGTTGGGAAACTGAGGAACGAATTAAACGAAAGCATAATTTCGTACTGCCAAACATTCAGAGCCACGTATCTGCTATGGAGGGAGCGTGTGTGTTCATACAAAGTTGTGGCCTGAGTTTCAGTGGCGTACAAGCTAAGCGACTTCGCTCGCTTAGCCGTTATGCGCCGATACTAGTTACCCTTTTCTCCATGATAGAAGTCGATTTTATCTTGTCGAGTAGGGAAATGACTAGAGACATCTGCCGTAAATGGCGCTGCTCCGTTTCGCCAGACGTCACACCCCTTCAGCAAAGACTGAATAAACTAAAATCGGCAAAAACCAACATCAAGATAATGACACCTACTGTCAGTCTGAATACGTCCTCTACAACACCACCTGGGGCATATGCAAGTCACGGCATAGTCAATTCCGTAGGGAGTTCGACTACTTTTAATGCTGACCTCTTTAAACTCAGCACCACGCCTGGTATAAACACGCCTCTATCGAATCCCCCAGCAACCCCTATTAAGCCTAAGCATGTGTCTAAGTCAAAGGCAAATCCAATTGCTGCCTCAGCCACTCGGACACCCGATAAATCCAGCACCATTATAAAATGTTTTCCTCCACAATCGGCGAACGCTGCCTCAAATACCCCGACTCAAAATGTACCGTGTTCCCAACTGCCCCCCCAGCCCTCATATCGAGGCAGTTAGGCCGAATATGCCGATTTTCCCACCGTTTAATAGACCTTTTGTTCCAATGGAAACAATGCGTCCCCCACCCCCTAACCTGTTTCCATCACGGCCGTTTTATCAATGTATTCTTCATGCTTATGTCCATACTGGACCAGTTAACTCATCCGATCCTCATTTTCGTTCCGGCGGGAATGTGTTGCAGTATCTACCCCGCGGATTTCCAGCTGAAAATAAGTTAGCTAACAATAGTTACCAGTTTACCTGCCCGTCATTCCCTCCCCCAAGTCCTATCCCTTTTTATCCACGTCAGAATTTTTTTGATGCCACAAAATTTTTTGCAGAACTGGATGATTGCATCCGGACCGTTTGCTTCGTGGGCGACCCAGAACTGGACGATGTAGCCCACCTCCCTCAAAAACTAACAGCCTTTCCCTTCAAACTTTTTGTTTTAAATGCCAGATCCTTACTTAATAAGATGCCTTTGCTTCAGACTCCGGTGTTCGTTCATTGTCCTGATATTGTTTTAGTAATTGAGACGTGGGCATCAGCCTCAGTAGCTGACTCCAAACTCTCTCTTCTAGGCTACAATTGCATCCGAAATGATCGCCAAGATAGCCGTGGTGGGGGCAGCTGCGTCTACGTTAAGAAAACGCTTACATTTTTGCCGTTGGACCTCCCGCACTTTTCAGCAGCAGAGGGCAGCTGCTGGCTCCAGATTGCACTAACAAATAGGTTCTCCTTACTCGTTGGCTGCGTCTATCGCCCTCCCAACGCCAATGACAATTTTGATCGTTTACTCTCACAGGCATTTCATGCTGCGGCCGACTCAAGCTTTAAGTATCAATTGGTTGCGGGTGACTTTAATCTCCCTGAAGTCCGCTGGTCTCCGCCTTCAGGCCCCAGAAGGCTCAATGAATTTCTTGAGGCTGTAGATGTTGGGATGTGGAATCAGGTTGTCGATTTTCCCACCCGAGGCTCAAATATACTTGACCTAATTTTCTGTAGAGGCTGCTCGCCATCGTCAGTGTCATCCCTAGGCCCACTCGGGGGCTCAGACCATGACATAGTTGTTTCACCGTTGGAATTCGAGGCTGACGAAAAGTTGTCCCCAAAGTATAACTTTTTCCTTGATTTCCGATCAACACGCACAACCGATTTATTAACACACCTTAATTCCTACGACTGGACTGAGTTCTTCCTTAGTTCGGATGTAAATGTTTGCACTGCAGATCTGTATGAAATTTTGGATCCGCTTATTTCTCGTTTTGTCCCCCGCTAGAAAATTATTAATGTTGGGGATTCGGTTTTCCTACCCTTACCCTTTCGTCGCAGATTGCCCAGACTTTATCGTCGTTTCCTTCTTCAGAACGATATTTCTGTTCTGCCCTTGATTTGTGATATTTTTGATCGAGCTAAGAGATTGTCTGAAGAAAAACAGCTAGCCCAAGAGATCCAGTTTACCGAAAACCATTCGTTAAGTGTCTCGAAACTTTTCTTTAGCAAAATACGAACTCAGAGAAAGACGCAGTATCCCATCCTTCGAGACGATCTCGGAAATCCCATAGCTGATGCCCAGTTAACCGCGGATAGCTTCAATGATTTCCTGTCCAAAACGTTTATTGAAGACTCGACCACTCCGCTTCCGACCATCCAGCCATTGACTGGGGTAGTTCTAGAAACTATAACTTTCACTCTGTGGGATGTGACTGTTGCGATTTGGCGTTTTCGTCAATCTTATAGTCCAGGCCCTGATGGTGTCCCTGTAAGCATTTTAAAAGCCGATGCAAACACGATTTTCCCATCCCTCTTATGCAAGATATTTAATCTTACTCTTGAAAGTGAAACTTATCCTACCTTGTGGAAGGAATCACATTTTTTTGCCCATTCCTAAGCACGGCAAATCTACATCATTTGATGACTTTTGGCCAATAATCACCCTCCCTGCAGTTTCGAAGATCTTAGAGACATTGATCAAAGGTAAGATGATGTGTCACTTAACAGCGAAGTGCTTACTGAGTGTTGCTCAGCATGGATTCCTCAAAGCTCGACCTTGTGACACCGGTCAACTCTCTTTCTTTGACTATGTTCTCCAATCTAGGGACAATGGTTTTGCACTTTACACAGTATATTTCGATTTCACTAAGGCTTTTGATCGTGTTGATCATGCTCTTCTTCTCTTGAAATTGTCCTCTTTCGGAATAGGTGGCAAACTTTTGAATTTTTTATCCTCTTACCTGGGCACTCGTACACAATGAGTTAAGATTTCCAATACTATCTCCAACCCCACACGCGTGAGGAGTGGAGTCATTCAGGGTAGTGTACTCGGCCCGCTTTTATTTTGCCTTTTCGTTAATGATGTACCCGATTTATTTCAGAATGGTAAGCCTTTCATGTATGCCGATGATCTTAAAGTTGCATATCGATATAAGCCGGCAGATCATGACATCGTGCTTGAGCTCCTAAAGATCGATCTACAGGCTTTCGCCCAGTGGTGCCGCACATGGCGCATTTCTCTTTCCTGGCATAAGTGCTCAGTCATGGTGGTTGGCGACGACCGCCAACCTAAATTAAGTATTGAAGGTCACGCCATAAATGTGCCAGGGGTTATAAAGGATTTGGGCGTATCATACTCCAAGAGTCTCAATCTCTCGGAGCACTGTGCCTTGATAGTCTCCAAAGCACGTAGAACGACCGGGTTTATCCTCCGAAATTTTAAAACAAGGGACATTAGAATGCGCCTTTTCAACATGTACGTTAGACCTGGTCTGGAATACTGTTCGGTTTCATTTAGCCTCATTCGTGCTACTGAGCGGAAGAAAATAGAATACGTTCAACACTTTTTTAACCAAGAGAATTTTAACCCCGGAACGCCGACATTTGTCTTACCAAGAACGTTGCCGGCTTAAAGGCCTCGATCCTTTATGGTTCCGTAGATTACAAAAGGGACTATTTTTGCTATTAAAACTCTTATATAATCACACATTTAACCCAGTCACCACTTTAAGATATCATATCCACTCACGACGTAACAGTCACCGTGAGGTCTTTTTATTTCTGCCTCTGGCACGTACTGTTAAATATCGTCGGATCTTTCCTGAAAATGCAATTGCTACTTAGAATAAACTACCCATGAGTGTGAAAACTCTGCAAAATTATCCTTTATTTAAGGGAACTATTACTCGATTTTTGCATTCAGAAAAGCTCCCACAAATTTTGGGTGCCGAAAACTCTGATCGACTGTACCGTAGCGATGGCGTTTGTGGTCTCTGAACACTATGGCCGGTCTCACCAGCTGTTCCTCAACGCCTCTACTTTGGCTATTCCCAGCTTCATGAAAGGAATTTGACGTCTGATAATCTCCGATACCGTGCAACCTCCCCCCTTCTTGACGGTCGATATTCTCCCACCGCCGGCAGTTTTTTCTCCTGAGCCCTCCAAACCACAAAATCCACCATCAGCTATATTTTTATCCCTTAAGCTCAGGAAATTTTTTTCACTGCTGGTCGGATTTATGTTTAAACGCTTCCCTTGACAATGCCTGTAAACTGGCATTAAATGAAATAATATAATTTAATTTAAAATTTAGAGAAGGTTAGGGCTAGGGTTGTTGTTAGGATAAATTTTTACGGTTAGAGCTAGGGTTACGATTAGGCTTTTAGGGTTGGGGTTAGGTTTAGGGTTAGGTTTAAGGTGAGTTTTTAGAGTTACGGTTAGATATAAGAGGTAGTGTAAAGGGTTGGATTTAGGATACTTGTGCCAGCGCAATCTCTTTTGCGGTTTTCCATTCCTGGGCTATTTTTTCGACCTTGCTTTCTGCAACGCAGTTTGAACTTTATGCTGCTGCCTTGGGATTGCCACACTCTTCTCGTACATTCGCAGCTTACAGGTGGACGACGGACGGACGGTTAGACTGACTTGTATTTCAGCTTTGCAAGCCTCCGATTTTGTTTTTCTCAGGTGGTCACATCTTACGCCTGCAGTTTTTACAGCCTACCACGACAATACCGCACGCCTTCGCTCTCTGCTTCCACAAGTGGCGAGATTACGCTGCCATTCTTGTACCATACGATTGAAGTACGCTACACATACAGCCAACGGCTGCATGCGAAAATTTAGAACTTTTCCATACGAGGGTTTGCTCTAGATTCGCCTCCGCGAATTAATCTCTTGCGTCTGCCGGTCGTGTCGGTCTTCTACTTATTCGATCAGCAGCGACGTCCGGCCGGGTTGCTTCGGTAATACCGCTGGATTCTCGTCCAGTGACTACTTGCCCTCCCGTTACCTAAGCATTGTCGGAATCTGCTACAGCAGTTGACGTTTCATCGAGAGGGCTGGCCGAGAATGGGGACGCGGTTTTACTGCTTTCGTCACAACTTCCCACCCCCACTTACGTGATATACGTTTCGCGCATAGGCGAAAGGGCGCCGGGGTTAGATTCATACCTGCTTGGTAGGTGCGCTTTGTCTTTTGTGGCCGTTGCGCCGGGACTTGCCTTTCGGTGTTCGTGCGTACCACTAACGTATACCACCAACGGTGGTTGTCTTTCCTTAACCATCAGCCTACCGGCTCCCACACTCCGTCACCCAAGAACGGGGGTAAAGATGCCTCTTTGAGCATTCGGGAGTGCTCTTCCTTTCAATTTCTCCGGATTAGGCGTCCGACAAACCCAGAGGCTTAGTGTGCGGTTTTCTTTAATCTTTTTCGCCTGTGGTCACGTTTTACGTTGCAAACCCCCTACCAGAGCGGTTTGCCTGCTCCCGGCTGCCGCGGTGTTCGGCAGGTTGGTGGGTACGCTACAACCGGTCCGGGTCGCCTCTGACTATACCTTTTATCATACAATGCCTCCTTGTCCGTGTACTTTAGGTCCCTTCAGGCTTGGAAAACGACTGCCGTGAGGGACTGGCTCGGATTTTTCCATTATCTTTTAGTCTAGTCCACTCGTCCAAGTGGACTTACACTCCCAGGGTAGCGCTTTCCGGGTGGCAAGAGGATCGTAGACAAAAACGACATTGTGAGGCAGAGGGGTGATTTCAGTATTGCAGTAAACAGTGCGAACAAATAAGTGATTTCTTCGTCTGCATTGGCTTCCATGCGGAATATTCGTTGACCTTCCTGTCCTTTTGCCCTCTACGTGTGGGCGTCATATGTGTGCGTATATTCAGCTAAACTTTTCGCCTACGCTACCAGTTTCTTATTTACCTCGGTACCTACTGAATTACGTTATGCTTCCTGTTGCCGCTCTCCGTGGGCGCCTACGATACGGCTACATACATTAAGAACATATGCCAGGCTTCCGGCAAGTTGCTTGCCGTCACACCGTACCACAGGCGGTATTGGGCCTCATCGATGTGTGACCAGACGTTCCGACGCTTGATGGAGCCCTGCACGTCCAATTTTTTCAGTCTAATCCAGTACGCTATTATCGTGCTCGTATTTTTCTTCGTGACAGAATCCACAAATTGGCGAAATGGTTAACCTTTAGATGACTTTAGCCTTCCTCAGTCAGCGAAGCATACGCCTTCCACTGGTCCGTTACTAGACAACTGCCTGGGGCTATTAATTTTTTCATTAAGGCATTCAGAGAAGACCAGCTTCGATAGTTCACTTGCTCGAAAACCACCTTCATTTTGCTTGTATCGTACATGCCTAAGAATGGCACACTAATCGGTATTTCCTAAATGCTTCCGAATAAAAAAGATGAGCCCTCAAACAGTTTTTTAGAGTAAAACCTTAATGGTGGCTCATATGACGTAATACGAAAAATAATCTCGGTAGAGATCAAATGTTACAATGATACCGATATTTAAGACACTACTGCAAACTGAGATCCGCATCACACGTCATGGCGACTGTAGAATGCGTAAACCTCCGTATTAGGATATCCCCCTGGTAATTTGTGTGACTTACAAAAAAAGTCCGTCTCCTAAATTTGATCAGCATACAAGGTATGCCTCTCACTTTGCAGAAACGCGTGCCCTCCCCCTCCTTTTCAGAGAAAAAGACAATTTTGCGCACAAAAAGAAATCTTCAGAGCGCCTTAGATACAGGTTCTCTCGCCGCCATCCCGATGTTAGTCAGGTTTATTCGAAGAACCCGCTCAAGGAAAGAAATCAATCATTTGGCGGGCCTAAACGACCAATAGGAAACGCCTGTAGGGCTTGACAACTATATAAAATCATCTTCCGCGAGTTGGATAATCCGTTTACCCTTTTCCCGTCGGTTGGGGTGTCGGTCCGTCATTAGCATCGTAACCACAACAGACTGTACGATGCCTTCTTACGTTTCATTAGTTATAACATCAACTGCCTTTGGGCTTAAAAGCGAGAAGAGGTATCCCTTAGATCTTACATTAGGTAAATTCAAGGTATCTGTCCTCTTATATCTGTAGCTTACCCAATAACTAGGAAAAGTTAGTCTTAATGACCGGATGTGAGCCCACCACCATGAAACTAGAACTATTGGACGACTCCGAAAAACACGTTTCATTCTTAACGGATGATTTCAAAACCTTGGAAGAGCTTGGTGTCAAGGATGGTTACCATGTACGCGCCTCAGACCCCACGGTCGAGGCCGGTCATTATGACAAACTTCTGGGGCAGGATTCCTCAGTCGACTTCAAGCTCACGGAGGAGGAATACGCTCAGCGCGAAGGTGCCCCGCCTCTGTCTTTTGTGCATTTTGTCGATTTATATTCTTGCTTGCGTGTGGTCTTCGTACATACGAGTAAAATTTACTGCTAGTGTAATCTCACGGGTTTGCATTCCACTAAATTTTCTAAACGCTTTATTTTTGGATTTTAAGTATCAAGTCGGGAGCATTTGATGCTGTCCCCGACGACGTGAATTACATCAACACTTGAGTAAGCGTCCACATTAGGGGTCCACATGTTGCGTGAAATTCGTCTTGCCAACTACAATAAGTTGATTAGAGCACTATCATACCGCGTACACCTAAGGCGAACCAACCCTTGAGATAGTGCCGTCATTCTCCCTGATTCCTAGAGTGAGGCTGTATTTTGCTCGAAGCAGTAATCACTTTCCATTCCCGAAATTCCACCAAGTGTTAAAATTTACTTGTCTTCCTATTTGACTTCGTTCACGTAAATTGGCCGTATGAAATAGACTTCGATGCGTTTCTAATAGATGCCAGACTGGGTCAGAACGCTATAAGTATACCCTCCTAATCTAACACCCATTTGAAATGAGCCCTTTAATCTCTTTTAGACACTGTACTGGCATGGAAAAAGCGAAACAAAATCGGAAAATTCAAAGAGCTTGACCCAGAGGAGGCCAGAAAAGCCGAGGAGAAAAGACTCGCTACAGAAGCAGCAGAGAAGGCACTAATTGAAAAAATGAAAGTCGGGGACAGGTGCGATTTATATGTACGCTTTTTCCCCAGTCTCGCAAAATTATTTCCAAGGTTTCAGTTAACTCGCCCATTTTGAGAAGGAATGTTTCCAAACACTTTTTTATCCGCTCATGAAGTTGCGCCTAGCACGCATTGCCGTGGCCGTAATGCTGTTCAACCTCGTATGATTTCCAGAAACAAACGTTTCATATTTACCAAAAACAAGTGTTCTCCGTCACCACGCGCAAAATAGGAATGAAAAAAGTCGGGTAACATTGCTAAAAACATCGAAAACATGTAACGGCTAAAGTGACAAGTAGAACCTTGGCATATGTACTTCAGTACCACTACACGCCAGGAACCGTTAAGTCGACACTGAAGGGAGCCATGCAGAGTTGAATGGAGTGGCTTACTAGCAATCAGACTAGAACAAAGGAGATGAACACCTTAAAAAATGGACGAGTGAGTGCCTGTACGCTGTAAAACGGCATCAGAATGGCTGATAGCAGGAATTTTGTCCGTTTATCCTCCGTTTATCGTTTGCAGTAGGCGGCAAAGCATGGAGACCTGAAAGAGGGCAAGGCACCGACCTAGCTTACCTAAGTAGACATAACAGAAGTAGGGTGTGCGAATATTTATGGTGTTGACGAGGCTTAAATGACGCCTTTTTATTCCAATTGGCCTTAGCTGTGTTCTTTTCCAAAGACACGAAACCAATTTTTCACTACTACATTCAGACGTCCATACATTGCTGTCATATGTGATCGAGTTCTATTACTGAGATAGTCAGAAATCAGTAGTGATACATTAAGTTCATCTTTTTTTCCCCCAGTACTTTGCACTCTTCTGCCGTAAGCTGTTAAACTGCTGAGACAATGACGTGGACGAGCTGAGTAAACCATGTTAGCTTTTTTGACCAGAAAAAATTGACACCTGTGTATTAAATCAACAGTAATACGGCTTAGGAAAACGGTTTCACTGAAGTCTCTTTAGGGAAGGTCTCCAAAATCTACCAAAACGTGCAGACCACTTTTTACCCCTCTACAGCGTAACATTATTTTAAAAATATTACTGCCTCTGCCATGAGCTTTTACCGAATCACTGCCAAGCACCGGGTTCCTCTTATCTTCGGAAGAATAGTGTGTAGCATAGCAGATGCCTGCTTTTTTTTCGATAAAGCCTGATGTACCGGTAGGTCTGCGTTCGAAGTGATTGTAGGGCGCAACTGATCACAAAATATATTTTTTATGGCCGGGCAGGTGAATTTTATTGTAATCCATGGCAGAACTCAACGTCATAGGCACCTTCCTGGTTTACAGCATACAACTACGACTTTAGTCAGATATCGGCTTATGGCCGGGGACTAGAAGTAGGGCTTCCCCTCTCATCCAGATCGGTCTATTCTGCTGTTTGCTCCATTGCTTTCGTCCAGGCTAGACTAACAATACTTGCAAAGGATGTCGTTACTGTCATAGTCTTTTCAGCCCTTTTTCAAATAAAACCGTAGGGCTGCATTAAAGAAGCTTCTCCGACACGTCTCCGGATAGGAAATACTCTAAATGACTTTTGTCATAACACGGTTGAGCTGTTAGAAATAACATTTTTTGTCTACCACGTTCTTCCAGTTTTATTCGCGATTTTTTCTGATTCCCCCTGTTCCCACCATCATGTTATTTCTTTGCTCCTAACACGTTCATGTGTTAGCATCTGTGTAGCTTACAACTTAACGCTACTCTCCATTTGTCGTATCCGGACGCGACGACGTAGACCAGAAGCTTCGACTTCCGGACATCAAATATTTGAATTTTTCACAAATGTATCAGCATTCCTCTCCCAGAGTCGAATACACTGCTCTTTTCCTGAACAAGAGGAGTTTCTTATTCAATTCGTCTGCTTAAGGCTGCTTCTTTTTATCGAAAAGGCGGATTTAGAAATTTATAAATCTCTTACATCTGCCATCCATTAGTTGATGAGTGGTTTTGATTCCGAAATCTACAAAAGCCGGCTCAGATACTAGTTTCTTCATTAGCAGCTCAAGAAGGTGTCCTTGTGAGACTACTGAAAGACTTTGAATGCTCAACAGTTGCATAATTTGCTTCGCGTGTCTTAGCTCCAGGCGATAAGATTTCACTCCGCTACATAAAGTACATCAGGCATCAGGGAGCCCCTCGCATAGGGGTGCCCTTTAAACAACTATTTATGACGTACATTTAGCCGGCTGGCTGTCTGATGTCCCGACGCCGGTTGGGGCCTGCAACAATCAACTGCATCCTCGATCTCGCTCTCGTCTGCCTAGGGCTTTTCTGTTTTTACTGGTGGGGGCCACCATTGCTCCGTGAGTGCAGTGGCGACTTGTGCGCGATTTTGATTGCTTTGATGGGAACTTCAACGACACCTACCCCATCACTTCTCACGCCCACAATTGTCTACTCGCAATACAAAGTCAAGACAACAAAGTAAACCAACATCTGCCCGTGCCGCCTTTGCTGATCCTCACGCGCAAGGGACCGGGGCCTAGAAGGAGCTTACAGTGAAGAGAGTTGTTGTAAAGACCACAACCTGAGCCTTAGTCCCGCGAAGGACCAAGTTGTCTTGTCAGATGGTGGTTTTTCATGCTTTTTTTATCGTATTGGGTTAATTTTATCAATGCCGGTGTGCGCTGAGCGCGTCTAACGATTGCCAGACGCCTATGTAGCCTCCTTTAGGTCTGAGGCGACTGCTCAGATCGTTTTGGAAGCCAAGCTGTATATTCACCACTTTTTCTGAGGGAGAGGGAGTGTGACATAGACCACGTCACTGTGCATGTTATCGATAGCAGTAATTATGAACTCCGCTGAGGCAGCAAATGTTGTCTGCGGGCCTTCATTTGATTGTTTTCGCAGCCTTCACATGAGCATCTTTAAGCTGCCTCTGAAGGTCCTCGTTCGCCATGAATAAAGCATCTGTTAGAGCTAGTCAATGTACATCTCCACCTCCAGGCGATCATTTATCGCGGCTATGAGGTTTTTCATTCGTAAAATAGAATTCCCAGTTTCTCTCCCAACCCCACTGAGTCACGCACTGTGGACGACTTGGTTATTCAGAAGATGAAGATGCGATCACTGGAACAAGAAATTTATTTGCCTAACGTTTCGGATTCTCACTCGAATCCATCATCGAGTGAGAATCCGAAACGTCAGGCAAATAAATTTCTTGTTCCAGTGATCGCATCTTCATCCTCTGAACTGCTACCTGGAACTCGCCTGTTCGCCTCTATCAGCGACTTGGTTATTCTACTTCTGATTCCCTTCTTGTCATCTACTTGAACTGCTTTTTTTCTTCTGGTTGTTGTAAAAGTACTCCTCTACCGAGGCTTTGTTTTGTTTCGTTGGTCATTCTATAGATTGTTTTCTCTTATTCAATTCTCTTTCTCCCAGGTGTGAAGTTCGAATACCACAGCAGCCAACAAAGCGTGGAGAAATCATGTTCCTTGGTAGGTGTACCTCCCGGCTTTTTCCTTAAACATTGACGTTTAACACACCTCAGAGATCTGTTGACCCTCTGTGCAACTATAGTGTTATTTGCTTATCATGACTCCGGTCCTATTCTCCCACCAATGCAACCTAGAGCCCCACTGTGGACTTATCATACTTCCCCATGGATTAGCAGCTAGACTCATGATCTCATGCTTTACTATATTGACAGTACATGTACTAGCTGAGAACTCAGACGTGTGTTTCACCGAGATTCTACCACTGTATGACACATGTGCGAGGGACCCGACTCATCAGTTAGTTCCCAGAGCGTTCCCGTGTTTCATCTGGTAGATACTCCACTTCTTAAACTTCTCTCCTGAGAAGTTAATGAGCTAACCTGGAATAAAGCCCCGGGATGAAGCTTTATCGGCTCAGTCCGAAATTTTATATGACTAGTTGATACGAGGTCGGCTTCTGGATTGCGCCTATAAAGATTCATTCCGAGGAAACAGTGCGATTGCTCCACTCTGACCCCGCCTGACACCCAGTTGTCGTCTGTGACTTTACCAAGCTGTGTCAAGGGCAACAGCCACACCTTGGCAACCGTCTCGACGGACGAGCGAAACCGGATGAGGGTGGCTGGTATGTTTCTTCAGCAACCTTGCAGTTTTGCGCGCGGTTTAGGGCAGTGAGAAGGCAGGCGCTAGCCGTATTGTAGCACACGTAGATGAGGCCCCGGGGCCGTCTCCTGTCACTGAATCACGGTGGGTAGGAGAGAGGGAGGTCTCTGCTGTACACGTCTTCCTCATTGCATCTGATTCCCGCGCAAGTTACCACCACCATGGACATTGTAAGTTTCAGCTGACGAACGATCAGTTCTCTCCAGTTTCATGCATACCGCAACCCCGCCTGCCGTTTGAACTGACTCAAGGCACCTCTATTTTCCATCTCCGCGTGCGAATTATGGCAGTACCGCGTCCACTGGGCGCTCGCTCGAAATGTGTGGGCCACTGTTTCGCAGCATTACCAGCCATTGTTAGTCCACACCTTCAGGGTACTCCGCTTTATCCGCATATTCGCTTCTCCGACCCTTCAACTTCCCACTCTCCATCTCCATTTTGAATCCGGAATTTGAAATTCACAAGCAGGATGGAGAAATCCCTTTGGCATCGTTCAGAGCGTGGGCTGCATACCGATGATGCAACTGTCCGTCTCCTCTTCTACCCCCTCTTTCGTCGTATGGGATTGTGAATACTGGGTTGTATGCGTAGAAGGTGCGGAATCGACCGTGCCATCCACCTGCGGCCTCCCTCATCTCCGGTCTTCTTGACTCTGTCTTGACACCGGGTCCAGGCGGGGGAGGAGGAGAGAGTGTAGGTAGATGCAGGGCAAGTCTACTGGCACTATAAACCCCTGCGCAAGTCACCGTCCCTGCTCCCACAATGCAGTCTGTGGGGCACACGGTGGTCATCGTCGAAATCGACGGACGAACTGTCGGGCTACCTCTGCCCGAGTACACTGACTTCGTCTCAAATGAGACAGTCAAAAATCGCGAGAATATCTCAAGCCACCCGTAAAAAGTTGCCTAGATGATTTGGGCAAGTTCTTCGGTGTCCGCCTCATGAACTCAATGCTGCTGCCACCGACCCGGCGCCGTTGCCCAACTGGAGACGTCGAAGAGGAAATCACACCAAAACCCGACCCAGAACAGTTCATCAAGGCATGAAGGTGAGTCTTGGACCTGTCGATCCTGTCGCTAGTGGAGAGAATGGGTCAGGCTCACCAGATTCGCGGCCGCGGATTGTTACTTGTGAAGGGGTACAATTTGCGGAATTATCGGGACCGACTGGGTCAGGCATGATCATAGGTAAGGGAAGACGGAGGCGTGGTCGCTGGATCAAGAGCTTTGTTCGCCCGACGTTTCGAACACGCACTCGAATCCACCACCACCACCACCACCACCACCACCACCACCACCACCACCACCACCACCACCATCATCATCATCATCATCATCATCATCAAGGACAGATCACAGCTGTGTCAAGTGCAGACACTGTCGGACCAAGGGTAGATTACGTTTAATCGAAGGAGTTTTGAGGAAGGGCGATGTCGGCATGGTTAACGCTGAAAGCCTGAAGGTCTTGTTCTGTCTGAACACTCGTATTTTCAGAGGGCCATGAACCTAACTGAATCTTCCGCACAGTCAGAGAACTGGTGAGAGGGGTCAGTGACATCGTGCTGAAATACTCATTTTTTTCCACCGCACATAAAGGCTGCCTTGCGCAAGTAGATAGTATGAATTGGTCAAGTTCATGAGTCTGGGGACATACGGCAGATGTGCTAACTCATGAAATGCTGACCGAAATTCTGAAATGCGCTTTCAACTCAAAAATGTTACTTAAATGGGATTGTAATACTAATTACCGTGCAGAATAATCCCATGATAATTCGGTTACTTCAGGATGCCGGCTTTCGAACGACCTCCTTTTCAGCTGCCTGCAACGATTACACTCGTTAAAAAGGGCTACTTAAGTAGCATGACTTGTTCTCATTGATTTTCGATGCTCTTATATTTCATGGAAAACAGACATACAAATATTCAGTATTTTACTCGATTGCTAGAAAAGTACATTATCTTCGAATTTTATGCCTGAAGGAGGGGTATAATTCGGCTTTAAAAGTCTCTAGTTATGAGAAATGCGCGTTTATAAAACATCATGTCTTCGCATTTACTGATGTTGCGTGTAAAGTTTACAATATGCTCAAATCCACTGATAAATTTTATAAACCCCTATACGGTCTCCTCTTAGTCATGTAGAGAGATATATGATTTTCTATACACGGAAAATATAAAGCTTGTAGTTTGGAAACCCTGAATGCAAGTGTGATGACATGTCGGTTTCAAAATTATTAAAATTGGAAAATTTTTCAAAAACAAGCTATACTCTTCCTTCAGGTATAAAATTTGAAGATTCAATTTTCTACAAAATGAGTAAAATGAATATTTTTATACATGTTTTCCATAAAGTATATTTGAATTTATAAGGGCATCGAAAATCAATGAGAAAAAATTATACGACTTAGCAGTCCTTTTTTTACAGAGCGTAGCTTTTGCAGGCAGCCGAGAAGAAATTCGTTCGAAAGTCGGCCTCCTGGCGTAACTGAATTATCATACCTTTATGCTGCACGGCAATTAATATTACAACCCTACTTAAGTAGTCCTTTTGAGTAGAAGACGCATTTCAGAATTTCGGCCAACATTTCATGAGTTAGTACATCTACTGTGCCGTCGACGTTCACGACCTTCCAGAGAGCGCTTCTGTCGACTCATTCAAACAATGCAGGACAATCAAAGAATCAGATAGTCCCTTTCCCTCGAAAATATACAATATGGCTATCTAGTCGATGCAGCCTTCATCAGAGCGGAGACCGCCCCAATGTTTTATCCGTACGCCCTAATAAGCGTGCAAACAGTACGCTACAGCTCTGCTCTCTTGTCTTCTAACCTCCCCATTTTGTCAGTTCGCCCTCAACGCCCCCCCCCCTTCCTTCCCATTGATGACCATTTTATCTCTTTCTACCGTCAGGACTGACAAAATTTAAGGAGGGCCAGTGGGTCGGTGTGAAGTATGACGAGCCACTCGGGCGCAACGATGGAAGGTAAACCCTGCCCTTCCGTCCTTCATCTTTGACTACCTTTTATTGAGGGATGGCAGCTTTCCCCAACATCCTCTCTCTCTCTTGTAGCATCGATGGCGTTCGGTACTTTGACTGCCCCCCCAAGTACGGCGCCTTCGTGAAACCAGCCTACGTGGAGGTAGGCGACTTTCCAGAACTGGGAATTGACGATCTGGACGAAATATGAACCCGGTCCCCGTCATTATTTGCTTCCGGCTCCGCATCCTCTCCCACCTACAGATGTCATACTGCGCTGTGCTGCACTGCATTTTTTGTTTACACTGCATTACTGTGTACTGCAATTGACGCTAAGATTGTACGCACGTCTGAACCGCCGCAGTTGTGTGTGTGTGTCTATAAACTGCATTTCTGCTCGGTGGATTGGAAGCGTCGGTAATATAAACACAGCTCCTGAAGGAAATTAGGGTGCAATTAGGACACTCCTCTGGAGTCCGCTGTTCACAGTCGAAAGCACAGCACATCAGAGCAGCACCTTGAACGCAATTGGTCGCCTTGACCGCTCGTCGCCGATTGGTCGATCGCATGGTTGAGGTCCTGTGCAGAACACAACTTTCTCGTCTCGTGCCGTCTGTTAGATTCCTCATCACAAGATGGCAACATGCTGCAGACAACTGTGTTGGTGACAGGCGCCGGACTAGATGTTTGTCAGGGCGTAACAGCACTATAGGCAGTATATTATTACCGACAAAGACGGGTGACTGGAATGGCCATTTCTGGCCCATTAGCTGTCGTCAACCAGTCGTACCCAACCCCGAAGTGTGGAACGGCCAAGGCTCGATCCCGCGGCCTGTTAGTTAGAAGTCCACGCCTCTAACCACTGGGCCACTAGCCCGTTGCCCTATCGGTTTTCGATCGGGAAGATACAATGGTAGGAGGCGCTCACCTATCGTTCTTACAGAACTCGCTCGTTCTGTTGTACCTTACGGGCTCTCTCTCTCGAGCCCAACCAGCGGCCACACAGCGGCGCATTATATAGGCAGAATGGCATTACCTACAAAGACAAGGGAGACTGGAATGCTGATAGAAGCGAACAGGCGAGTCCCAGGTAGCAGTTCAGAAGATGAAGATGCGATCACTGGGACAAGAAGTTTATTTGCCTGACGTTTCGGATTCTCACTCGAACCCATCATCAGAGACATTCGCAGATAGAGGTGAAGGTGGCACCATGAGTGCAGTATTTATAGCACGTGGCTGCCGT